TGTTCCCAGTGCTAAAACTTTGAGGAAAAGCTTTACAAAATGGTAGCGTCTATAACTGACAGAGCTTTTTAAAGATAATTCAGCCTTTCCAAAAGGTTGCACGTGTGTCTGTGACTCCAGGGCCGCAGTTTTGGCGAGAAGTGTTTGGCGTTACCTGTCTTTATGCCAGATGAAGCCATCTCTGTTTGTGGATGAGTGCGTGGAGGACGCAGTGACACTCGAACGTGTTCTTCTGCCAGAGCGTTGGTTGGCTTTAGAAAAATAATTAACTGAGGTCGACAGTGCTTCTCTAAATTATTTTCCAGATTTTCTTGAATGGTGCCCCCGCCCCGCTTTGTGAAGACTTACTTACGCCTGTTGTGTTTTCTTATCCTCACTGACGCACTAGGCCTGCACCCGTCAGCGGGATCCGGGCCCAGAGGGCCAGAAGCCAGCCTGGCCCTGGTCTGCCAGGACTGGCTGTTACTGCCGTTCTCACCCACGGTTGTAAGCACGAGCTAAGAGTAGCGATTGAACCAGACTTGCAGAGTAACCCGAGGCAGACTCGTAGCGACCGAGTCGGAAGTAAATATCTAGTCGGTACTAAATTTTCTTTATTGTCTTTTTTTTGACTACATGTATATAGTTTGTTTGACTCAGAATCCAAATAAGCTTCATATATTACAATTGTTCCTTTTAGTCTGCAGGTTCCCGTTCATGCCCCCCACCCCACCCTTGTACCCCTCTACCTCTCTCTCTCTTTGCTTGGAGTTTGTCAGAGAATCCAGGTCATTTGTTCTCTAGTTTTCCCCAGCTGAATTTTACTGGCTGCATCCCTTTAGCTTGTTTTACGTGTCCCCTTATCATCTGAATTTTTCTTAATTGGCTCATTCTGTGTTTTGTGCTGCTAGACGATGTTATGTCCTTCCGTCGAGAGGAACATACTGGCTGGTTGGTGCTGGTGGTGGAGGTGTGTCACAGGGGCACAGGAGCCAGCTAGAAAGGGCTACTGGACACATCTGGGACCATCGGAGCACCAGAAGAGTTCAGGGCTGTGTTGTAGACCTTTGGAGAAAACAGTGAGGCCTCCGTGGGTCCGTGCCAATGACGCATGAATGCACAGGGGAGGCGGAGGGCGCCGCCGCAGGCAGGCGTGCCGGCACTGACTGCAGGGCGCTGGCTGTGGACGTGCAGGATGTCGTTCCGCCACCCGCCCAGTACGCTTGGTTCAGGCGAGGATCATCAGTGGCTGCAAATCGGGGGGAAGTGTGAAGAGGGGCAGGATATTTGCAGGGTATAAAGCATCTCCCACAGCCTGCTTAATTCCAAGGGAAAAAATAGTAACCAGATGGTGGAGAAATCAGCCAGCCCTTGACCAGGTGATGATAATCAGCGTCGGCAGTGAGGGAAGGAAGTGTCGGCAGGTGTGACGCCTGAGAAGGGGAGGGCATCGCTGAACCCAGCTTCGGAGAAGAGCAGACACCCAAGCAAGAATGCTCCTTTTAAAAGGAATGGGGGGCAGGGACTGTATGCTTCAAAAACGTCAGTGTCACAGAGGTTAAAGCTGTGGAAAACTCTCTCAGTCACCTAGTGCTGCTGTAGCAGAAATACCACAGGCCGGGGCTGTAAAGAACAGTTTATTTTCTCACAGTGCTGGAGGCTAGACGTCTGTCCCTTCTGAGCCTCTCGCCTGGTTTCTGGTATCTGCTGGTGGTCCTTGGCGTTCCTTCACATTGCTTGGCATCTGCCTTCCCCCGTGTGTGTCTCTGTGTTTATTGGTCTTTTTATAACTCACAACTGATTAGGGTTAGCATCTACCCCACTCTCATATGACCTCATTAACATAACAAAAGAAAAACCTTATGTCCAAACAGGATCACACCCACAAGTACAAGGACCACGACTTAACCCTTATTTGGGGGCACACAATTCAATCTGTAACATATTCTTATGTCAATATAACATTTACTGAAGTCAATAACTGTACTGAGGTATATAAGATAATATCCATATGAAATACACGCTGAAGTATTTGAAAGTAAAAGGCCGTGACATATACAGCTTACTCTCAAATAGTTCAAGGGAAGAAAAAATGTGTGTAGAGAAAGTGAAAG